ATGTTATGACAAAAGAGTATTTTTTTATCATTAACCAAACAGAAACTAGTAATGCAAGTAATATGAAGGTTCTTTCCTATTTATATCATTGCAATTGCAATAATAAATATTAAGTCCACTCCAGAGTCCCTTGACCCTGACCAGTCAAAATACAGTACCGTTATGCATCTCTTCTCTTTTTGCCGATTAGATTCTAGTCCACTTTCCCACAATATTGTCTTTATCTCTATATTCCATATGTAAAACATCATTAAGATTCTCCGAAATCTTTAACGAACAAAAAAGAATATTACAGGCCACATAGTTGGGAGGTGCAAGGCTGGAAACTTGAAGGTGGTAATTAAAATCCTAACTATCTCCTTCATTTAAAAGGAGGATTATTGTGAAGGTGTTCTTCCATTTAAAAGGAAAGAATCCTATTATTGCCACCATGAGGGAATATTTCTGGTTCATTAAATTTATAAACAAGGAAGTGTGCTTTCGTAACCAATTTAACGTATTATGGCCTCCCATCATGCATTTCACATTCCTTGTACAAACACCAGATTGCGGCTCCACAAGATGCTGACAACCATGCACAATACATCAGCTCATAAATCATGTCCAACGTCAACAGAACTTAAAACACCCCATTTGTCCCTTTTGCAATCTGACTTCCTTATTTCTGACAGTGTATGCAAGGTTTCACCTTTCCTTCAAGTGATATCTGCTCTTCTTTGATAGAAACAGAAAGGGCTTTCTAAGCAGCTTGTGCTCAAGTGGGTTTAGATTCTCTTTGAAATCAAATTCTAAAAAACATTGTCAACCACTTAAGTAAGAAGCTGCTGAATATCAGCTTGCCATTACTGTGAACAAAGTAATGCCCTATCTTCCGGACTGGTAAATCCAGTATGTAGTCAGATTATGCCATAAAAATATATGAAGCGGAAGCGGGTATAGATGAATCAGCACTTGACATCTTCAACGATTCTAAGCAAAATTTCGTTCATTTTTCTCACATTTCATCAGTCTCCACAGCACTGGAAAGATTAATGACAGCAAAAGTCAGTCCTTGCATAGTTAGCTAACTACTCACAGTCCATCAAAAGACTTATCATTTGGTTCATGCCAGTGGTTCTGTTCCCACTTATCATTTTGACTTCCCTCCTCTGATTACAAATCCTAATTGAACAAGATTACAGCTAGTTACCATCGCTAATCTTCATCCCCTGAATAGCATATTGAACAGAGAAGATTCACATATTTAAACCATTAGCAAGCGTAACCTTCATACAAACTCTTCCCAAGAGAGAGAACCAAAACAACCTCTGTAGAAGTAGAAAATAATCTATGCCCCATGCTCTATGTACTGCAAAGAGCCACATTCAAGTGTAAACGAAATAAGTTAAAGTTTAAACAAAAAAATATATATGCAATAAAAAGTGGGTACTACGAGTGATATCACCCTTCAACTTCATAAGCAAGCATTCCTATAAATAAATGAAAAGAGAACTAAAACCATTGATGACTCCCTGGATCAATGCAGTAAGTCAAATCTAGTATGACTAGCCTGTCTAGATAAGTTTAGAAATGCGTCTTTTAGCTTTTTGAAAACCAGCACAAGGAATCTTAGTTAGTTCCATTGCCACTAATACATTTCTAATCCCGACATTAGGTCCCATGTAATTGCATGGTTGTGATCACAATTTTAACACCATAATCGAGTACCAGTTACCCTATGATCTCATCCTCAATAAGTACGAGATTTCTCAGGCTTCTGAAATTAGGGCAGCAAAAGTAAAAACAACCTAGGGCTATCACATGCAAAAGTCGAAAACTTAAGGTAGAGAGATTCTCTCCCGTAAGATATGCAAAACGTAAAATGACCTTGATTAACTCAAGCAGAAGAAAGATTTTAACTCTAGCGTGCGTCTAAAACATTTCAATTGAAATGAAATGGAACGAAGCTGTTACCTCGGATTCCGAAATGATAATTCAATGTTAACTTTGAGCTTCGATGTTTAAACTTGAAACCTCACAGTTCCTTAAACCTCGAACTACGAAAACCCTAATTTACGTGTGGAGGACGCTTCACTCTGATCGACACGATACTGGTTGAGTAAGAAACCTAGATTTCAGCTGGTTGAGTAAGAACCCTAGATTGCAGTTCCCCGACAAGCTTTTAACTTCTGCGTCGTAAATGGAGTGTTCGCTCCTTTGCATTAAAAATAGTTTCTGAAAAAGCTCAGGGGCTAATTCATTTCATAATCCATTGAACAGAAGATTACAATCTAAAACTGTTTCCAATCCCTAGGAAACCATTAAAGACCAAAAGAAATTTCGGAAAAAAAATATAAAATCATCTCACAAATAAAAAGAAATTAAAAGATCCGATTCATATTTTCCATGGGCATTGCTATGAACCCAAATACACCCACATACTTCCCCCAATTTACAAAACTACCCCTACAACAACTATTCTGTGACTGTGTCTTTCCTGCCTGCCTAAGCTCCTCCGCTCCTTCCTTCACTTCTTCCCTCTCTTTGGTGCAGCCTTCTTCGCTGGAGACTTCACGCTCTTCGGCTTCACGGTTTTAGCAGGAGTCTTCTTCGTCGCTGGAGCCTTCTTCGCCGCCGGCTTTACTGCCGCCGGTGCCTTCTTCCCTGGAGAAGTCCTTGTAGACGTCCTCGCAACCTTCGCCGGCTTCTCCTTCGGCTTCGGTTTAGCTACTGCCTTCGTCTTAGCCGCAGCAGCAGCTTTCGGCTTGGCAGCAGCCTTAGGCTTAGTAGCGGCAGCAGCTTTCGCCTTCGAAGCAGCTCCTGCCTTCGGCTTGGCGGCAGCCGTTGCTGCCTTGGGCTTCGCCTTGGAAGCAGCCCTTGCTTTGGCCGGTGCCTTCGCCGGCGCTGCCTTAGTGGTTGTCTTAGCAGGTGCCTTGGACACCTTTGCATCCTTTGACTTAGCAGCAGTCTTAGTCTTAGTCTTAGACTTGGCTGCAGTCGCCGGCTTCTTTTTGGCCGGAGCAGAAGGTGCAGTAACAGACTTTGAAGCCGATGATTTAGCAGCCGGAATCTTGAACGAACCTTTAACTTTAACAAGCTTTCCAGCCGCCACAAGCTTCTTCAAGTGAAAAAGCAAGAGTTTCTTAAAGTTAGGTGGCAGTTGCTTATGCTTCTCTTCGATAAACTTCGTTATCGCATACTGACTAGAGCCAGTCTTCTCCTTCAGAGTCACAATTGCGTCCTTGATCATCTGCGAAAACAAAATCAAACCCGTCAGATCGAGAACAGTGCGCATATACACATAAAACTTAGTTGAATTCGATTAAATTCCGTATCAAGTATAAGTCGAATGACAGATAAACGAAAGTACCTCTTCATAAGGTGGATGAGAAGGAGCGCTTCTTTTCTTCGGTGCAGAAGCCTTCTTAGGTTTAGGATCCTTCGCCTTCTTGGTTTTCGCAGCGTTGGCTGCCGGTTTCTCCTCTACCATCGGATCGTTGGCGGTGGCTTCCTGGACGATCTCGGTTGTCACCGCAGGCTCCTCGGAGGCCATTGAAACTCGATTGAGAAGTTACGATTGAGAAATTAGGGTTACTGGGGAAGATTCTAGACTGAAAACCTAAGGGATTGAGATTGAGATTGGGATTGGATTGGGATTGGGGATTGGGACTGGATCTACACGGTGAGGTTTAGCTGGTAATTTATCTGTGGAAGAAGGTGATTGAAATGGAGCGATTTAAATAGTCATGTGTGAGAGAGACAGTATCCAAAAGCTGGGCTCTGATTGGTCAAAACGCCTCCCACTCGGATCGCTCTCTTTCACAATTTTAAATATTAACCGTTTGATCTAAAAGTTATCTACGACCCACGAGTGCGGATAAGGGGAAAGGTGAAGGAGAAGGTTTTGGGGGAAATGAGAGTGGATCCTAGTTTAGGTGTGCTTTTGTTCCTCATTGATTTCATCATAACTTGAATTATACTTGATGGAATTTAGTCAAATTTTTTTCCATTTTGTAGGTTATTATATAAGCTTTCTAATGAGTATTTGACCTTGTTGTGAAGCCTTGTAGATTGGGAGAAATTTGACTTCGAATCCGCATTGGTCGAAATTAGGGTTTACTCAGATGTTCTTGATGTCTTAATCGATTTTAAGAAAATGCTTGAACCGAACTTCCAATTTTTTTATCCTAATTGTTACTAGACTAACCAAGGAGTCTAATGAATCCAAAATTACAAAAAACGACGAACGTTTGGATGGTAAATTATTGATTCGAAGATGAATCAACTTGAACATGTCATAATAGTTAATAATATATATTGGGACATAAATGGTATGTAACCCTAATCAAATGAAACCTAGCATGGCACTCTATTTCACATGTTTAAGAGTTCATTTGTGATTCTCATTGAGCATTATATTTGAATTAAGATAATTTAGAAGTTCTATTACGAATATATTACATGTGTATTGGAATTATGTTATAATTAGATTCGGAAAATGCTTGGTATGGAGTTTCTTGACCTCTTTCATCGTACTTGTTTCCTTCCATTAATTTGGCGAAATGATAAAAGCTTAAAATATTCATATTAATCTATTAATATGTAAGAACAATAGTTACAATAGTGGAATAATTTAATAAACTATTTATTGACCTAGTTTATTCTTATCATTTATTCATCAATTGTTTTAAACATATTAGAAATTTGGATAATTAAATATATAATATATACGTTCTCCATATGTTATAGTTATATTATTTATTTTTATTAGACAATTTATTTTAACAAAACCATTTCAACACGTGTACTTAAACATAGAATTATTGACAATATGTTTAGAAAAAATAATACAAAAAATATCATTTCTTTCCAGATTTATAATTTTATGTTTTAAATGCAAATAAAATGTGCCTCTTCAAGTGGATTTCAAATTTTTTTTTGGTCGAACTTATCTGTCTATAACATAACCCTTAAAATCAAAATTGTGAAGTCTTATAATAATCAACTTAAAATTAAGATTATGTAAAGATGTTCCTAAATTCAATAATAAGATAAAACGAGATAATATAATAACATTATCATTATTTAAGGTGTTGTCTAATTTCAAAAATACTATCAATAATTCATGAACATTGTAAATAATTTTAAAATTAGAGCATTTGATCTATTTAAAATGAGTCATATAACTGATTATTTAAGATTTGTGGGATTTTCGTTTTTTTAACTCATTAGCACATTAAATCCTACAATAATATAATACAATGTGATAGATGTAAGTGGTTGCATCCTTCCTTACAAAGTAAATTAGGTAAGTGAAAGGAAAAAATTAGCGATTACACTTTTTATCTTTTCATTATTAATTGTCATATTACAAGTTATACTATCAAAGTAAGCATTATGGTTAAATAGTATAGTTATGGATGACTCGTATATAGTAACAATTTCAATAAGTGAGTATAACACATTTTGTTACTTTAATAATTTTATTCGGCTACCTTATAACAAATTAAGCAGAAACTCGTTATATGATAATCAAGGTTGTGCAAGAATCGATCGATCTGGTTTACCCAGTTGAAATCAAATCGGTAAGGAAAGACCAGTTCGGTTAAATCGGTAAGCTTTCCCAATTTGGTTATATTGGTTATGTCACATCAAAAATTGATTCAATTATAATTTACATGTTCAACAAAGTAAACAAATAGAATAACTAAATATTTATACGTTTTTGTATTTAAATTATAATTATATCATATAATAACCCAAAATCACAACTTGCTCCCTCATCAAATTTAACCCTCAATTCAACAATCCTTAGTCGTCACTTTTAATCCTTCTCAATTGAACCATAAATGCCAGTACTACAGCACCATAACAGAAGGCATAACCTTTTTTTACTCTCTCAATCTCATATATGTGATTGTCTCTATCTTGCTCATCTCATATGATTTCTTTGACGATATCATTCATTCCCCTACTTAGCAGACCCTAAGTGATCTCACAGTTTCCATGTTATTAACTTAATTGCGATGAGTTACTAACGTCAGTAATGAACACTTGCTTAAGGTTTGTGGGAATAAATTATATATATATCTTTAATACATACATGTATAATCTTAACTTATCTTGTATATCTTGATTATTCTACATCAAAATATATGATATGAATCAGAGTGACACAAATTCTAACTCATGGTCAAGACATAACTCAAGCTCACATGAAAATAGCATAAGCTTAACAGCTTATTGCCACATAAAAAATAATGGCTAAATGAGCTTAAAAGGTCACGACCATGTTAAAGAAAAGTAAGGCCCAACTCAAAATAGAGCTCATGGCCGTATGGGAGCTTATATGGAAGCTCATGGCTTCATGGAAAAAATGAAGGAAGCTCACAACTTCATGAGCTTAAAAAGCCACATCTTAGGCCCTATGCTGCATAAAAGTCATGGCAAGATCAATTACAAAAAAAAAAGTCTCTTAATTTGGTCTATTTAGGTGGAAATAAAGGTCCAATTTAAAAATAATGAAGTTCATATAAAGAAAAGCCTATTATAAATCAACTTCAAGGTACATTTGAACTTTATAGATGGAGCATCACAAAAAAATGGACCAATAAACTCAAGAGAGATTTTCAAGTTTATGATAAGGGATGGATCCATAAAGAAGGGAATCTTTGACCATAATTTGAAGGCCTTGAAAAGGGAAAGTCGAGCCCATCAAACCAAGGGGAAAGGCAGCCACTAAAGAATCCTACACATTATGAATTCTCGACCAAATCCTTCTAATAAGTATTGGTTGATTACATTACATGGGAAAATCCTCTATAACTAATGCGAGATTTTCTCTGACACGAGAAATTTTTTTTTATTTTCATCTCATCTCGAATCGGCCATAGAAGTCCATAAAATCTAATATTTTCATAAATCAAACATAAGAGATTTTCTTTCTAAAAAGGCATATAAATATAAAAATAAGTCAATGACACTTACTCTGCAAGATCATGGATAAATACTTCTTACAAAAGATGCATATTAAACATTAAAATAAATCAAAGACACTTACTCCACAAGATCATGAGTGAATTCACAAGATTTTCTCCTACCTAAGCATGATCGAATATCACAAGAAATAAAAGTGTACTTTTGCCCAAATTTTAATTATTAAGGTAAATACTACTTAGCCAAATATGAGTAGCATTATTCACTACATCAAAGGTAAATAAATATTATCATCATCTTAAGTAATATGCACTTTTACTAAAGTATCTATTTTTATATTTTGTGTTGATTTTTTTTTTACGTATAGGCTTAATGTGGACCTTACTTTGCGTATCAGGCTATCAATTTAATAAGCTTATTTAAAAGTAATCAAATATGGTTAAACAATATTGAATCTTAATGTATTGGGTTTAGATATGAGCTTGTAATATACAGATACTATTTTTGTAATATTCTCATTTATGATAGATAAAATAAAAATTACAAAAGTTAGTCGATATAAAAGGTGGTTATAGTCCCCAAATCATAAAACTGTCATTTTATTTTTCTAAAATCCTGTCACCAGAAAAAACTAATTTCAAGGCGTCATATTGATTCAGAAGATCCTACCATCATACGTAAATAAATCTTTTGCGATGGATTCAAGTACGCTTTCGATTATATTTTTCTTTAGTTCAGTATGATAATAGATGTTTAATTTTTACAGATCTACGGATTTGAAAAGAAATTTTATTTTAACAATTGGTATCAGAGCCATTTCTAGTATTGAATTTTTTAGAAAGTTTTTTTTATTTTTTAATATGTAATTTTAGATTTTAGATTTAAAATTTTAGAGTTTGGATTTGTTTTTATTTAGTTGAAAATATATATATGCAGGGAATTAAGAAATATATATATATTAAGAAGTTAAGTACTATATATGTATATATATATATATTAACCATGTATGTATATATACATATATATGTATATGAAACAAAAAAAAAAAAACAGAGCTGTGGTCGAGCGCCATTGCATGAGGAAGAAAATCCAGCAGTTCAACAATCGTTCAGCAGCTGAAATGAGTACCAAATTTAGTCCGTAACAGTTGAAAATTTTCAGCCATTACTGTAGTAATTAATTTAGTTTTAAAAAATTTAAAAGTAGCCGTTACAGACTGGATAAGTTTAATTTACCGTTTAATTTTCTGTTTAAAATTAAAAGTGTAAGGATTTTGTGCTTGATGGTTGTTTAAATTTAAGTTTTAAAATTAAAATTATGTGGGCTTGGTCCACAAAAAGAGAAGAAATAAAGGAAAAAGAAAAAATACAATCGGCTGGCCCAAAACCCAAGCCCGTTTAGGCTGGGCCAACCTTATTTGGACCCAACTCGACTCGAACCTGACGGTTGTTGACCCAACCTAGTCAATGGTCAACAGTTGATTGGTCAATGATCAACATTTGACTGGTCAACAGTCAAAGCTGACTTTGACCGGTCAACGGTCAATTTTTTACCAACAAACAAAATTTAAAGAGTATTTTTAGTAATTTTATGGTTGATTTTCTTCTTAATTAAGTTTAAATTTAGTTTTAATTTTGAATTTTAATATTGGTATGTGCATATACATAGTGAAATAACTTAATTTACACAATATCTTACCAAAGTGACATTTCTTGTGGATAACTTATTTATTTCATAATGTGAATAGTTGTATGGATGTAATTTATGTGAATGTTAATCAGTCTAAATGGA